ATATTCCGCATTATTAATTTTCTTGATATTTGACATGGAAAATCTTGACAATAAAGTAATTATGATTTAAAATTTTAAAGTTTGAAGTTTTATAAAATTTAACATGATGGGCTTAGTTTGGTGGAAAAGATGAAATGTTTTCTTTTTCTAATTTCTTTTGTTTTGTTTTTGTCTTTTGTTTTGTGTGTTTTGGTACATGTGTTTTTAAAATAAATTTTATTTATAATTGTTGAAGAGTTATGGAAATTGCTTTGCAGTTTTCCTTATTTTTTTGCTGTTTATTGATTTCTCATTATTTTTATTTAAAGAGGAGAGCAAACCCAATATTTTTGTTTGGGCCTCATTTTTGTAAAAAAAAATAAAATGCATTTTTGAACAGTGTATTGATGGGAAATATGTGGTTAAAAAATAAGGAAAAAATTTGAATTTGCGTGTAATATTATTTTATTGAACAATATGTGGTTCAAGATACTATTCAAGAACACATTTTTTTTTTTTCAAAAAAGGGGCTCAAACAAGGGCTTAATGGTCAAAATGGATGAAATGACGAGTTTTTTTTTTTTACTTAATTGAAAGGTGATGATGAATTATACTAAAAATAAAGTTGAAAATATATTTGTTATAACGTGCAAAGGTTGAGACAAAATGGGTAAATTTCGCTTAAAAATAATTATAACTTAAAAGATTGTGATTCTAAATCTAATCCTAAATAATTCCATCTTTTAATGCGACGTTTACACGAGTGAAAATATGGGACCCAACCACAAAATTCTAGACATTTGGCTCCCTTACCATTTTAAAAATTAAAAAACATTAATAATAAATCCCTACTATCTTAAAAGAGTGAATCCACCGATTACTGCTCATTTCTGAAACTTTTTTTTAAAATCCCAATTCATCCCTATCCATCCTCTACTATTCACATAAGACTTAAGAGTAATTTGGACTTCTTCCTACTATGCCCGCAATTGTTGACTTTATTGCTCCCGAAGAGGAAAAAATGGTGAAGACAATACTCCGCGCTGTGAGGAGCAAAGTGACTCCTCACTGTGCGGAATTAAAAAAAAAAATCTGCACAGTGCGGAGTGTTGAAAGAAAGAAAAAAACCCCCGCACAGTGCGGAGTGTGTAAAAAAAAAAAATCGCGTAGTGCAGAGTGTGAAGAAAAGTATGAAAGAAAAAAAAACTCCGCACAGTGTAGAGTCACAATCCGCACTGTGCAGAGTGTGAAGGAAGGAAGTATAAAAATAAATAAATAAGTCCTCCGCACAGTGCGGAGTGTGGTGTCCACACACCGCCGACACCGTGATTTTTTTTATACAGTTAATGTCAATATTAGTTTTAAATTGTTTTCCTTGTTAAAAATATTGTTCGATGTGTAACTAATCTATATTCCCAAACAATTTTAGCGTCCCATATAATTATATTTTTCACCAATAAAAAAATGCATTTTTATTGACTACCAATAATGTCAAAAATAGAAATTAGAGAGATGCATGAAATTGTTTTAATCATATCAAGTCTAACACATTAAATTTTGCAAGTAGGACAAAAATAAGATTGAGGAGCTATTTGCCGTTTTGTCACTTATACATGTGTGTATACTATGATTTCATAACTTATTTATGTTATCCAAATGTGGTTCATTCACTTCATTGAATCATAATAAAGAGAAACCAAAAGTTCACACAAGGTTTTAAATATTTTTTTTGATAATCGTACCTCCGAGTCCCTCAATACTACAAAAAGAAAATTTCCTACAATACATCTTATTACAAAAACCTACATCACACACACATGTAAACTTGGACAATGATATAAATACTTGAAATACCTAAAGGTTTTGACTTGCATGAGTTTTATCGAAGGGAAAAGACTCAATGGTGATGGGATTTAATCAACCACTGAAGTAATACCCATTTATTAACAGGTGTTCCATTGTGGGTGATCTAAATATTGGAAGTATTTGAGAGTTGAACATAAAGTTGGGACTTCCTACCACGACCAGCACTAAGAGGTTGGAACTGCTTAATGACAAGGAGCACATATTCGATATCAAAATTGTTGGTAGTCATCACAGGCTAATGGTATGGATTCTTTAACCATTCACGTGTAGTATATTCTATTTCTTGAGGTAATATTTCAGTTATAAAATCAGTAATGCATTAGTTAATTACTTTTGGTGACAAAAAATAATTAACACAATAAGTTGGGAGAATAATTGTGTTTTTAACCTCTTTTGCTTCTCCCTCTATACTTGTAACAACTAATATACAAATAAATATTTCTGTTTTGTTTTTTGTGTCTGTACTCTTTATTTGTTCTTCTGATCAAGTAATTATTCTATCACTGATTATGTTAAGATGATAGAAACACTTTTTCCAATTTTGTGGAACCAGCTCAATTAAAGGATTCTCGTTTGCACATAAGTCAAACCTTCATGGACATCTTATATAAGTGCTATAAATGTGTCACCAATTGCAGTGAGATGAAGAGTGATGTGTTTGCTGAACGTTGCTATTTATGTACATTGAATTCAATTTCTATCTTCACAATTTGAGCATTGTTATTTCTTGTTTTTTTATTATTCTTTGTTTTCTTCTTCCATTGAGAGAAATATGAAGCTTTGTGCAGCATGTAGCTAATTGAAAAGGCTCATGTATTGCTAATGTTTTCCCTCGTATGCGTGTTCTATTAATTTGTGTTGGAATAAGATCACATGTTTTGTTTAACTACTCGTACAGTCTTCCAATTTATCTTTACACTATTATGCATATTTGGTTGCAAAGGCAGTGATCATACTTTCTCATTTTGTTGAGAGTGGTTAAAGAGATCTTCAACTATTGCATTGTATTTCCTTAGCGTTATGATCTATTAGATAATATTTTTACTATTTTATTTTCCAATAAACTTTCTTCCTTGCTCAGTGGGTGTGTATAAATATTTTGGTACAGAGCACAAATATGAATTGTCAAACATTTGCAAGCTTAGAAAGATTAATATCATCCCCATTAATTTCTTCCTTAGGAAAAAATTTGGCAAGCAAAATTTTTTCAGTTGAATCTTACTAGAATATTATCCTTATTCAATTTTACTAATTATTATGTCAATTTCTATAATATTTAGGTGAAAACATGCTGAATCCATAAATATTCAATGCGCTAACATTACCATGAAAAAATTACAGTCCGGGCATTGCACGGGCAGAAAACTACTATAAAGAGAAAATGCCCATTAAATGGTTAATTTTGATGAATAGTTGGTTCGATTTTGAAACAATCAAACTTAAACAACATGGCTCCAAACCAATGTTTTAAAATCACAACTTCAATTCGATTTGACGGTTTGATGATCTTTTTCCCTCTTATTGCGAATGATGAGATACGTTGTATAGTCAGAATGTCATATAGGACATATGTGGACTTCGAAAATGCCTAAATGTGACAAGTTGAAAATTGTGTGAAAATTCAGTTCAAACTTCTCAACCCGTGTTTCTGCTCGTTTCGCCCCTGTTTGGGCTCCATTAAATACAAATTTTGGGGAAGTATATTTTAGAATAGTGATTTTTTGGAAAATATGTGGTTTAAAAAAAGAAGTTTTGAGTTTATGTAATATTATTTTATCAAAAAATATATGATTGAAAATAAGAGAGAGAAAAATGTATTTTAAAAATAATAAAGCGAGCTTATATTAAAATTTTGTGACGAATTCCAACAACTTTATCCACGTTAATTTCTCGTCAAATTCTAGGCCCTGTTTGGAAGGAATTAAATTTTTCTACAGTAAATCAATTCTCATTTTCAACCACACATTTTTCAATAAAATAATATTTTCCATCCCATCAATAATTTTTTTTTCTTTTTCAACCACACATTTTCCATCATATCACTATTCAAAATCAATTCTTCCCCAAAAAATCTTTCCCAAACAAACTCCTAATATCCAAGCAAGCAAGTAGTTTTAACAATGGCAACCAATGGAGTTACTTGAACTGGAAAAGTTATGAAGTTGTATTGATTGAGATGTTTTAGAGCTGAATGACATAATTGAGACTTTGCTCAAAGTTCGGCGATCACCAATAAAATTAACCCGCCACCACTGAATCAAACTCCTTCCCCAAATTCCAAGAAAAATAATTTTGACATTTTTGATGTGAAAAAAATATTTGACTCTCTCCTGTGTTGTCTCTTTCACAATTACAAGTTTTACTCTTTTTTTTTTTTAGGTTTTTTTTTTATTTTTTTTTTTATCTTTTCCTTCAGTCAGTTTCTATTCACACAAAATCGTAACATCTACCCTTCTTTGAATCGATTCTGCATAATTTAATTTGGGTTTTTATCATGTGTAATGTTGAATTATTACGATTCCTTTCGGATGGTGTAGGCAATGATTAGTCTCTGACTCTCTGTGGAACATTCGAATAATCTAAAAGGGAATATGCTTTCTACGACAACTGTTTCTCAACACTCGTTCTTTGGCGGTTTTATTTGTACGAGTGCTCTCTCATGTGGGTTGTCTTTAGATTTTTGAATTCTTGAATATACTGCTTTCTTGAGCTGGATTTCATATATAGTACAGATCTGTTTCTCTCTTTTGGTCGTATTAGTCTCGTGCAATTATCAATTTTATTGCTTGTATATAATTGCGTCTTGATTTTATTGCTTCTTTACATCAGGCAAGAGAAAATTCTATTTTTCCTACCTGATGCTGTTAGACAATTTTAGGGTTCTTGAATTTTTATCTCTGCTGCTTATCTTGTGATCTGGGGTGTCCTTGAAATCGAAGAAAGAGCAAAAGAGGAGGAAAAAAAGGATCGAGAATTTGAATTTTATGGTAGTGTAAATATATTGGAGGGTCGATTATATGAGATTATGAGAGGTGGCATATCAGCTAAAAAGTTCCGTCTTTATGGGTTTTGGTACTGTATTGTTTTTGTGCTTTTAGGGTAATTTCAGGGTTCTGTTAGTTGGAAGGTAGCTAAGGTTTTTTAGTTCTTTAAAGATGCAAGCTGTGGGGAAGCTAGGTAGTTACATAAGTAAAAGTGTAGTTACCGTATCTGGGCCCTTCCACCCATTTGGCGGTGCTGTAGATATTGTTGTTGTGGAACAACCGGACGGGAGCTATAAATCATCACCTTGGTATGTTCGGTTTGGGAAGTTCCAGGGGGTGTTGAAGGCCAAAGAGAAGGTGGTTAACATTAGTGTGAATGGTGTTGAAGCAGATTTCCATATGTACTTGGATCATAAAGGGGAAGCTTACTTTCTGAGGGAGGTGGATGTAGAGGAAGGGACGTCATTATTTTCTCCTCCATCCTCTTCGGGTGAGGATACAGACAGGCAATCGGGGAATAGGAGGTCAATGAAATTAAAAAGTTACAATTATGATGCTGATTCTTCTGGTTCAAATTTGAATGGTAGAAATAGGAATACCATGGTTAGGACTAATTCTCGCCGGTCTCAGATTTTGGGCCTTGTTTTTGGGAGAAAATCAATGAAAGAGTGTGGAAATCAGGAGGAAGTAGATGGTTCCGGTGTTGTTCGGATAAATTCTTTGGAGCGTGCTGAGATTGCGGCTGATCTTTTGGAGTTGAAGTGGTCTACTAATGTTGCCTCTGCTAGGCGCTGTAAAGACAATACTTCTCGGTTTTCTGCTCAAGATAAATCAAAAGTTGAAGTCAATAAGAATTTCCTAGACAATGATTCTCTGAATAATGAAATTGGCATTATTCATAATTCCAGCCATCAAAAAGTGGAAAACACTGTCGAGGAAAATGATGGAGAAAACTCATGCTTAACTTCAGTGTATGTCAGTGAACCAAACACATCGATTGCAAATGTTAAAGAAGATGCTCAAGTATCAAATTCAGAAACATCGACAATGACTGAGATATTGGATTTAGCTAATGCATTTTATCATGGGAATTCTGAGACTATCAAGTCCGAGATCACAATTCCTGAATCTCAAATTTCAAACTCTGTCCAGAAGCACAATGGTTCGTCAGACACTGGTTTTGCCGAGGAGAATGGAACATATGGAATCCAATCTTTTTGTTGTAATGAAACTTGTGAGAGCTCAAAAGTAGGGTTGGATGGTGCCGCTGAAGAATCAAATGGCACTTGTTCTTGTGAAGGATATGGGGAAGTCTGTGTCGCTGCTAAAGCTATGCATTTTACGACAGTGTTAACATCCACAGTAAAGTCTGGACAAGAAACTGATGTTTTATTTGACAAAGAACCTTTAAACCTTCAAGACTGTTTAGGTAAGGAGGATCATTTCAGTTTCTTTCTTGATGAAAACAATTTTGAGGCTGAAGGAAGTTCTCTGAACTCCACTTCAGAAAGCGATGCAACTAAATCCCATCATCAAGTAGTTTCTCCACAGCCATCAAATGATTTCATTGAGGAAATTGAGCCGCTTGGTGGTTTAATCATCTCCAGTTTTAGCAACTCTGCTTGTCCAAATAAAGAAAAGAGAACTGTTTGGAAAGAAGATGAAACAAACAAGTATGGATCCTGTTCGCGACTTCAGGGCTATCCTCAAATATCAACTAGTGATGGGGCCATTCCATTAATCCCAATGTCAGATATTTCAGTGGAAGAACAACTCCTTTTTGGCGATCTGGATGGTTTTGATTTCAGCAAGGCCAGAGATATGGACACCATTTATCCAAATCATGAAAAAGAAACTTATCCTCCACTTTCATCAATGGTGTCCAATGGAGTGAATGAGTCTTTTCCGCCAGAATGCAGTGCCACTTTTTATCGAGATGAATCTGTTATAGATGATATTGCAAATGATGCTAAAGAATCAAGAAGTAAGTTGAGAACCTTATCTAGCAATGTTAGCATTACCACAACCACCGAAATTCATTCCAAGGAACATGAAAGAATGGCGAGATCGTTGCCTAATATGTTGCCTCTCAGTAATGATTTAGATATGTGTGATCTTGACCATTCTTTTAACCAGTCATCACGTTCAGATATAAAGTCAGGTAAAAATAATAATCTCAGATTACCTCGGGCACAATCAATAGCTAAAGGTATGAAAGTTCTGGAGGAGCTAAAAGAGGGACCTGCAAATCCACCCTTTGGTAAGAAAATGCTTTTATTTATCAACTCTAATGCTGTGAAACATATAAAGTGTTTGGGGTTGTGGAGCTGGTGTAAACTGTACTTGTTTGCTGTGTGGCATCTGATACTTTCTCATTCAGCTTTGTAAATGAAGCAGCTAGTGATATATTGCTTTTCATGATTTTCTTTCCTCTTTCCCACTGTCGTGTTAAAATTGCTATTCAACATGCTATTCAACATTCCTGTATTGGCTCTGGAAGCTTTATTAGTCTATATGCATCAGTAGGTGTTAAATTCACCGTGTTCTGCACTGAGATACACCTGAAGAACTATATTCAGTTCAGTATAGATAATTCAGATGTTTTGCATATTAGGGATCTCCTGCGTTGATATGTTAATTTAGAGAAATCATGATGTTACCGATTTCTGCTTGTATGTATGAATTCTTCTCGTAACACAGTTTTCTTTTACATGTGATTAAGAGTTTATTTCTGATACCTTGTTGAATGACTTGGTCTAAAATTTAAGCTGTTAAAGAGGACCACATATATATCCTTTAAATTTTTCTTCGACTACGACATTTTTACTATTTGAATTTCTCATAAAAGACTTAAGTTACTTATTAGAATAAAGCAGGGCTTAATTCTTCAGTTCATTTTCATTGTTCACCTATCTAATCATACAGCCTTTAATCTTTGATTTATAACATGATACAAATTCTTCATTATGATATTTGAGTAGCAAGAAGATTCACAATAATTATGGATGTGCATTTCTAATATCAATGAATTGTTTGATTTATTGTAGTCCCTTTCATTCTTGAAATAGGACATCTTTTTGTCACTCTATTTGTATTAAATAATCTGTATCTCTTGAGTCTCTCTAGCAACATGCATTAGCTTATATATTGTTTGAACAATTTGATTTTGAAATTGGAAAAATGAAATTGAATGTTGTACTGCTTTTATATACCTTCACTCTAAAGTTAATTACTTAATGAAAGAAGGTTCGAAATTATTTATTTGTTTTAAATGTACATGAATAAACACTTTTTGATGGAAAATCAAGAAACTCTTTCTTCTTTAATCCTTCTGACTTGGAGCCTAGTTCAGTTGACAGTTGTTTCAAAACATAGCAAGGATCCAGTCTCAGCCTTTTTTCTTAGTAACCTAAGTTTTATCATAGCCCTACCCTCGGGCACTCAATTGTCATTTACTTTATATCAATCAATAATGGTATTTGCACTCCATGTTCAGGAAAAAAAAAGATCATTTTTGTAATTGTTTTGCATCTGTCCATAATTATAATTTATTAAATCTATTACTGAACGGAAAGTAACTTCTGGTTCTACTGTTTTTAAATGAAGTTGGCATTTGCCCTTCGATGCATTAGTTTGTTGTATATTCAAAAAGTTATACTTCAAAAATCCTAAATAATGCAAGGTTTATATAATCGAAATCTGTCAATGAGCACAATGAATATAAAGTCACAAAGGACTTATATATGTTGACGCATATGGCTATGACAATAAAGAAAACAAAGAAGATAAAAAATGACACGGGCCTTTTTTAAACCTTGAATGGTAATATTTTAGATGGGTACCACTGAGATAAAATATTATGCCTTGAAGAGGACTCAAACCTTCACACTCTTTAGTCTTTAGTATGAGATTTTGAGTCTCGTGTGTCTACCATTTCACCCCCAAATGTAAGTTCATAAAGTGCTTACGTACTTAAATTCTATTAGCAATCATAATGTGGGGAAGATGGGTTGTAGTTCTTGGTATTTGATGCTGAAATTTGGAAAAATTAGATCTACTTGTCCAGTTTCCTGTTGCAGTAAAGAATGATTAGCTCATGGTCGAAATGGCAGTCAGTTTGAATCACTACGTTCTCATGAAACAAGGATGTATATGTTTTGTGTTATGCAAATTAAAGCCATAATTTGTTGACTAGGAGAACTCTTGCAGGAAATGCACCTAGATCCACTGATTCCTTGAGCAGAAGCAGGGGAAGTTGGTCCTTTTCTTTTAAGAGATCAAGAAGTGTGCAAGTTTCCCAGCCAGCTATGGATGGCATTGAAATTGATAATGTTAAAAATATTCTGAGGACCACAGATGATATGGTGGAAGAAAATGATGTACCAAATCTGAAGGTAAATAAGAAGAAAATAAGGACGCTGACTCCAACATCTGAGCAACTGGCGTCCTTAAATCTAAAAGAAGGGAGGAACATCGTGATATTTACCTTCTCGACTGCAATGCTGGGGAAGCAACAGGTCACTTCTTTATGACTGTTGTAATGGAAATTTCACTTTGAAGCTTGAGCATTTTTTTTCCCTATGACCTTCCTTTCTATTTGTTCGTCTAACATCTGTATGTTTACCTCTGATTATGTATGTCAGCTTATCTGCATATGTATTAATGCCCTTTGATACTCATTTAAAGTTTGCACGTCCAGGTTGAAGCCCGAGTTTATTTGTGGAGATGGGACACTAACATTGTGATATCTGATGTTGATGGAACAATTACCCGGTATAGATTTCTTTCATTCTACAATCTTTTCTTCCCCGAGATTATTATACTACCTCAAAATCAAATTACAGTAGTCCTATATAGTCTTATAGAATTGATAAATTCATTTGGCATTTGGATGACCTATTTCAACCAATGCAAGTTCTTCTAACATTATACTGGGGAGGTGATTTTGAAGGTGTAATAAACTCAAGGTATTTCACATCTTTATTCATAGAGAACTTAGGTGTATATATACAAATACCTAATTCTATATTATGATAGAAATTAGGGCTAAACTTATTTAATTTACTACTTTACTATTCTAGGAAATAATCTCTAACACTCCCCTTCAAGTTGGAGCATAGATGCTTATCATGTCCAGCTTGTTACAAAGATAATTCACCCGAACCCCATTTAGAGCCTTTGTGAAGATATCTCCAAATTGTTCTCCTGTTTTCACATACCTAAAAACCAAATCTTACTGAATCTTCTCATGAATGAAATGACAATCAATCACAATGTGTTTCGTTCGTTCATGAAAAATCGGATTAGATGCAATATGAAGTGCAGCTTGGTTATCACACCATAACCTAGCCTAACATGTTTAAAATTAAATAACAAAGGAACAATTGAAAAATCATCGCCCGAAAAGAAGAAATAATGAAGAATTAGGAATTTTCCACGTTTTTGATGTGAATCTTGAATCCGGATGAAGAATCTTCAATATCCTATGCAATTCGCCTTGATTCCACGTTGTTAGTCATGTTCTTCGCCTCTAAAATATGTATAATATAGAGATTTTTAGGTCTAGGGAGGTTCTCCATATGTATTCTGCTATTCTCTATTTGTAGGAGTCGAAAATTGGTTGAAAATCACGTCCAACTTGGTTTCTAAAATAGTTCTAATCGAATAAGGAAAGTTGCCTTCGCGCGCGAATTTTTGTCTCTGCACAGCAGTCCGTATTTTAGTCCTAACTTTCTCTCCTGATATCTGATTGACACGATTCAAAGTGCGTTGGAAAGATAACTCAAAGGGCTTTTGCTAGAGATAGAGTTTTTCCAATTTGGACGTTTACTATGCCAAACAGGGGTCTCAAACTTCGGCTAAAAATCTGAAATATATCTTATGCGATTGAAAATTGACTTTGATAATATTTTGATCATATTCCATTCCTTTTTGAATTCTAATTTCATCCAATTGTCTCCTAAAAATTTTAAAAGTATCTTCTTGAGGTCCGAATCAACCATTGAGTATTTGCAATTTAATCCTCAAACTTTGGATTTCGTCATTTTTCGCTACATTTTGTTTATTTTCTCCAAGATTTATGCTCCTTGTACCGGGGGGTGTACAACCCCCCGGTACGAATAGCACGTTTCTTTCTCCAATTATTCATCAAATATCGATTTTTACCTACAAGATGCAATGTGACACAATTTAGGTCATATTTTGCCAAAAGAACAATAAAATTCTACAGTTTCAAGCCCCAAATAAATGTAGAAAATACACTTATCAACCAATTTGGAAGATGAGGAAACGAGGCATGTGTTCATTTTACCTGAATCGGCGATGGCTGTGATAAGAGTAGATGAAAACTTTAGAGATTCTCGATATTGTGAGAACTTGGCATACTCATCTGCAGATATTAGAATAGGCTTAGAGATATCATTAGTAGATACCATATGGGCTGACTGACTCGATTGATTCTTGCGCTGTAACTTGCTACAATCTTTTTTCACATGTCCTGGCTTATGACAATAGTAACATACAACACTTCCCGAATCTTGTCCTCGAATATTAAAATTTCGATCATAATTACTTGAGTTTTCCCCTTTGTTGCCACTTTTAAATGGCTGTCTCCCAGATTCAGAAGTGCGACTGATAAGAGCACTGTTAGGTTGAGTAGGGACTGAATATTCTGTACGAAGTACCCTGCTAAAAGCTTCTTCTAAAGACGATATCTCAGGGCTAGAGAGAATTTGAGATTTAGCAGTCTCAAATTCAGAAGGAAGACCAGCCATGAAGCTCATAACCGCCATTTCTCTCTCTGAGCTTATTGAACTTTTCATCCGTACTGAATGGAAGTAGCATATTAAGCTCCTCATGAGTTTTCTTAAAATCCATAAAGTAGTCAGTAAGAGATCGGTTACCTTTTTCAGCACGATAAAAGGCTTGACACACATCATAGGTGTGTTTGATATTTCCCTTGCCAGAGTACACAAACTCCAAATAATCCATCAATTCTTTTATAAATTCACAGTGATTTATCAAATCAACCACTTCACTATCAATAGAGTTACGTATTTGCAAAAACAGACGAGCATCCTCTCTTAGCCATGAGACTTTCGAACCATCACTAAGTGGTTCATCAGTTAAGTGATTATCCGTAGCAATACTTTGCAAATACAATTTAACAGTTTTACTCCAATCTAAATAGTTGGATCTATTAAGTTTATGTTTCGTAAGTTTTGACATCATAGGAACCACATCAGATACAACAACCGAAGTCTTTATCTTCCATTTATCAAATATCAAGTAAATAACAAAGCAAAAATCACAATAGAGTCGAAATACTTGAAGAACCCGAACCTGAGTAAGTAGCACCCTGAGGCTGAAAATAAGTAAAGACCAAAAGCTTCAAATAAAGTTGGAGCACACACATTCAACCAGAGAACCCAGAAATCTGTACTTCCTAGGTACCCACTGCTCCAAACAACAAACCCAGCTTCCTGACTTATAAGTCACGCTACCCACAACTCCAAACAATACACCCAGCTTCCTGACTGATAAATCACGCTACTCACACCTCACTGTTGGCCGAAATGAGAGACCTACCACACTGAAAAATTGTGCTGGACGGCGACGAGGGACTCCTCCGGTGCAGGCGGGGGCGACGGGCTACCCTTCTAGTGCAGGCGTTGCTGGCTGGAGTTGTCGGAAAATAAAGCAGGAACCTGACCGAAGACTGCAGAGGAGACCCAAGGAAAGACGCAACTCAGCGACTGCAGAAATGGTCGGAAAACACGCAGCTTAGCGACTGTAGCTCAACGACGGCAGAAATGGCCAGAGTGCGACGGCTTACTGGAACCCTAGCGAGCTGCGACGCAGCTTAGTGGAAAACACTAGCGTGGTGCGGCGACTGTTGATGGGAAACGCCAAGAACTGAAGGCCAAGAAGAAGAGAAGAAAATGCTTGTAGACGAGTTACGAGCTACCCGCTCTGATACCATGTAATAAATTCAAGGTATTTCACATCTTTATTCATAGTGAACTTGGGTGTATATATACAAATACCTAATACTATATTAGGATAGAAATTAGGGCTAAACTTATTTAATTTACTACTTTACTATTCTAGGAAATAATCTCTAACGGAAGGGATTCTTGATTCTTTGCCGATATGATAATTCATTACCAGTTATTATTGTTTAAAAGATTCAGTTTGTCATAGTAATAAAAAATATGATAAATTACTTCTGACTTCATGGAAACAGGTATCATTGAGATTGTTTTGCTATGTATACGAGATCATTCTTATGTTGTTAGTGTAATATAGGATTCGATATGTTCATAAATATAGTAGTTGAGTCATTATCTAAGGTGCACCTTTGTGTCGATAGGAATTTATCAGGATCTAGCTGCAGACACCTTCTATGTTACTGTATACTATTTGGATGCTAAATTGATGACCACTGGTTCTGTTAATCTTGCTCAAAAGATGAGAGATGGAATTGGCATTTTCTCAATCAAATCAATTGTTCAATCCACCCTCCCCTGTGATGATAAAAGAAAGGGATCTGAATATGAGAGTAGTAAATTGATTTTCAAGATCTCACAACTCTTCTATTTTTAAGTCTCGGTTATAAATTTTTTGGTCTTTGTATCCAATGTAAATTATCTGACTATGAAAATCGAGGACTTAGCAACAGCATGTTATTACATCTGTAAATTGGATCCCATGAAACCTTGTCACCTTTTCTGGGTGTACAAGGAATTGGCTGATATTCATTATCTAATAACAATTGTTTTATTCAGAAAATAAGTTCCTGTTCTTTCTTTATTTAGGCTTATAAATTTGCGGTCCAGAGTTCGCAATTTTTCTTGACTAGTGAACAGGATTGTCAGTTATTGCTCTGTTACCCGACATAGCTTGATTTTTTTTTTTATTTTGTTTGGCAAATGGCTTGATTTTGAGAATATAGTGAAGTATAAATATTTGTGCAGGATAAAAGCTTTTTTAAATAAAGCTTATATATGTATTGAAAATGAAATATACCATTCTACCTTGAACTTTAAAGATGGCAAATAATTAAACTAAATAGATGTAAATTCCAAGGGTAGATCCATGATAATTAATAAATAGATCTTGAAGTAGATTCATTAAGAAATTGATGTTACTGTAATTTTGTGCTCCTCTTACTATATGACTGTAAGTTTCCTAAACTAGTGGGAAGCTTGTGAAACAACCTGGAGCCAGTAATGTATGGAAAACAGATATATGTGAGCTGCATTCCAATAGGAATGAAGAAAGGAAGAGACTGGTGAGGTAAGGTTAGAATTTGGGTTGTGAAAAAGTACTTTACCATCAGAATGAGCATTTTCTTACTACAAAAGATTCTTGCCTGTGTTAGAGGTTTCTTATTGAGAAACAAGTTAGCCTTGACTTCAACATTGAATTTTATTGCACCAATATGGTATCCAAGAGTAGGTATGCAATGTAGGTGGAAGAGGAAACAAGATCTATGGGATTACAAATGTATATTCGTGCACACATTAACTATTGGGTAGATAATTGAATAACAATCTTCAATATTTTTATTGATATTCATAAACAACCAAGTTAAATTGTAGGAAAACAAGATGCTTAAATATAACCTAAATCTAAAGCCCTAATAACGACTAAAAGACCAAAATAACCTCAATATTAATGATAACGAAATAACCTAATTTTACTTAATAAAATAAACATAAAAAGGAAATAAAGTTAAATACAAGTTTTGACCAACCGTGCTTCCAACTCCATTATTCCCCTGGATTAGTGAAGATTTGTCCTTAAATCTTGTTTCACGTTTTCATATCCGACTTCTCGGAACGACAATTATATTGGTAAGAAAGCAATGAAACCCCTTAGCTGAGCTAGACACTTGAATTGATTTAAGCTACCCATTACATTATTGTGCATTGTACCATTTAAATGTTTAGGCCCAGCTAAATCAGCAACTTGAATATGTCGAATATCCATCCCTGTTCAATCGATGTTACTATAGATCTCTTCCACTGGTTCATTAATTCAAGCATTAGACTCGTCACTATTTATCACAAATTTGACAATCTCAACGCTTGACTCATTCCTACAAAAGTACGACATTTGATTATTGAATCCAAATACTGCATTACCAACATCAATTACAAACTCCAATCAAACAACATGTCTAAGTTTTATTCCTTTATTCGCCTACTCCAAATGAGTGCACTGGGTCCATTATTCTTCATACTCAGTTTTGGTCCACTAACTTCAGCACCATTCTGCTTCAAAGCAATACGGAGTGCACTATCTATTTCAAGAGTTTCATTAACAGCCTAGTCCATTGACCATGAACCTCTCATCTCCAAGTTAGGTTGTTGGTCCATTTGGATCTGTCTATTATATCTAGTACGTCTCCATATTTTGTACCCTTCCAGTTGGCACGTCTCCTTCGACCTCCATGTCAAAAACGAATTCTCACCTAAATCAGCTTCCCAATCTGAGTAATAGGAGCAAAAAATCGGTGTTGGACTCCAACTCAACATACGTGCAACAATCTGAATATTTGTCATTCGCGATAGTTGCTTTGCCTGTCACATAATCGATAGCTGCACATCAACCATTAGAACCTCCTCTACTCTTGAGTCGTCTGTCAACAAATCTATCTACACTGTCAAGTCAGCGACTAATCTAACCATCGTGCTGCCTTTCCTCACCGCTGTGCACATGCCATGGCCACCAGCTCTTGCTTTTGCCCATTGCCATAGAGGCCCCCCGCCATCTACTGTTGATGGACTTTCAATCCAGCCACCTGTTTGCTAAAGCTATAGGGTATTGGCAGATTATTATTATTTTATCTCTACATTTCCTTTATCAACCCTGACACCATGACCTCTAACATGTCCTTGATTTATTGTTAGGAACGTAGACCGGTCTGAAGCATAAAAAAAGAACAAATACAGAACTAAAAATGCATGTTCATGCAAAAATTAACGATTGGGTGGATAATTGAAGAATAATGTCCAGTGTTTATTAATATTCATAAAAAATCAAGTTACATCATAGGAACAAGATACATAAATATATTCCAAACCCTAATAACGACTAAAAGGCCAAAATACTGTTAATAATAGCAAAAAGAAGAAAAAAAACCTATTTTTACTATGATAAAAATAAATAAATGAATAAATAAAGTTGTGACCGATCGTGCGTCCAACTCTACCAGTATGTTATGGGACTTTAGTTTTATTGGATTGAGGGAGGAAGTTAACATTAAGGTTTTTTATATGGTACTTTTAACAATCATTTGGGAGCCATGTTTTGCTACTTTTTAACCTCTCTTGTGAAATTTCGCTCAGTCTTTCTATGTGAATGTTGTTTGGCGTAAGACCACATATCTGGTTCTTGTGAGTATGTTATGTTCTGGGAACTTCTTATTGTGCATTCTCTTGTCATACATGTACTCCATGACGCACATTTAGTTTTCAGCCCTATAAAGCAGGACATATAAGAACACTTATTGATTGCATTAGATTTATATACTTTGTTTGGTTCAGTTGCAGTCAGTACCATGCTTTATTAAGTTTTAGTGAATTTTTTTTTTTAATTCATTTTCCTGGACATTTTCTATATTATTGTCATAGTGATATAAAGCTCCATAGTCACTGTCAGCAGTGGTATTTTGAAGTGTTTCCTTCCCTTTCTTCTTTTTTATGGTAAAATTTATACATATGCATAGCTCTTTCCTTGCATATATCGAATTGCCAAATTTTTGAGGAAATTTTTTACCCAGTTATGTTTCTCTTAATTATTTGTACCCGTCTCCTTAGAATAAGGAAATATGATTTCTCCGAGTTGTCCGGTCTTCATTCTAAATTCACATAATTGCTAAGTAAAGCCTACTTTGTGGACGACGGCTTTGTATTGCTGATTAAATTAGTCATAATATGATCGGTGTAATTCTTCTCTATCTCATCAATATCAATTGTGTCACAAGCACTCACATATTCAATATCAAAATTTTTTCCTGCCCTTATCTGATATCTTATGATTGCATATCTACTACAGATCGGATCTTCTAGGACAGGTCATGCCCTGGGTTGGTATGGATTGGTCGCAGACAGGCGTTGCACATCTTTTCTCAGCAATCAAGGTCCATTTACTTCCATTTATAGTGATAGTCGACAACAATTATTAATAACTCAAAATATTATGCTTGTGTTTGGCACCCATTAATATTTTTAAAATTTCTCTTTCTTAATTATAATTATAACCACACATTCACCAAATAAAATAATATTACACACAATTTTAAAACTTTTTATTACTTTTCAACCACACATTCTTCTATCAATCACTATTCCAAAATTTATAATACACCCAAAATAGGTGCCAAACACATGCTATATTCTTGTTATAGAGAACATTTTTATCATTTATAATTGAAGAATGGGTTTATATGATTATGTGCATAATGTTCTTTTACATTTGCATGGTGCAGGAGAATGGATATCAGTTACTTTTTCTAAGCGCACGTTCAATTTCTCAGGCCTACCATACCAGACAATTCCTATTTAATCTCAAGCAGGTAATTTTTGGTGATCTTGATTATTTAGATATATATTAATTGAGAAGACATAAATTAGAGTTGCTAGTTTTAAAACCAAAATATGTTTTAAGTTTATATCTTTTTCTTTCAGAATGGAAAAGCCTTACCAGATGGACCTGTTGTAATCTCCCCAGATGGACTCTTTCCTTCTTTGTTTCGAGAAGGTCTCTATTTTGTTATCACTTTGGTTTCTCATTTCATTCTAGTATCTTACTTTTCCTTTTATGCAGTTAGTATTTTGTTATCATGGTAGGAAGTTTTCCAAGACACATCATTGGACTACTATGATAGGCATCGAAAGCAATGACACGGTTATAAAATTCCATATGAGAATCAAGCCAGCTATATAAATCTTTTTCCACTGTCCATTCAGTTCAACCTTGAACCTACTGTAAGATCAAAACCAGATAATATTCTTAGCAACGACATGACAAGTTAGTTTTATGTGTCCTTCTGTCTTCTAATATGGTCTACTTGATCTTGTCACATAATTTAATAGAGGTAGGGTTAGGGTTACCAAAGCTTGTACTGTCTTGATTTTCAATGCATCTGCTTTGAAAACTTAATTTTCTCACGTATTTTTTCAGGCTCCCTCAAATCCATGCTTTCCTAATGCTTCAACTTTTCGTTGATAAATTTGGGTCAGCTATATGAATCCTGTTCTGCTTCTCACTTTGGTTCGTTGTTAGATCTATTTGAAGTTTTGAAGTAAATAAATCCGGCCTCTTTAGGTCTACACAAAATATGTCTCAACCACATATGTCATCATTTCCTTAATATATCCTCAATGGGTACCACAAACACTTGTTCACAGTTATTTTCATTTGTTTTATACATTTTAGTATGCCGTCACATCCATCTTAGCATCCTCATTAGGGATACCTTCATCTTATTCTCATTTTCTCCATTAACAGTCTATCACTTTGTATAATAGTGCATAGTAGGTCTAACAATTTGTTCTATAGTACTGCCCTTTTACCCTTAAAGAGAGCTTCTTATTGAATTCGTGTAACACATTAGTAATGATGGGAATAAGGATAATAGTAGAATCATTGTAATTAAATCGTGTGGTTCCACACTCACCAAAAGTGATATTTAAAGTAATTTGTTCTATAATTACAATGATGGAGGAATTGAAGAAGATTAATTCTACACAACATGAAACATTTATCCCTTGTTTAATTTTTCTAAAAATCAGATTTTTAATAGATTTTGATAAAAGCTGATAAAACGTGTAGCTGGAAGGTTGATAAGAGTTGTGACACATGAAATGTGTGATTGAACTTTGACTTAGCCCCAGTTTGATTCACATTAAAATTTTCATTCTCATTCTTTTACTCATTTTCAACCACACATTTTTCAATAAAATAATATTTTCCCTCATATCAAAATCTTTTCCTTTTTTTTCAACCACACATTTTCCATTAATCTACTATTCCAAAATACATTCTTCCGAAATAATGTGGCTCAAACACACCTTTAAATTTTTATCAATTTTTAATTAAACCAAGCAGGGGCTTAGATTCAAAAGTACTCATCTAGTGTAACCAGGGGTGAATCCCATTCTGGCCCAATGAGGGTTGGTCCCACCCATGTTGCAGGGATGCCAGGTTTTCCTTGTCCAACACAATTTATAGCTTCTAATTGAGTCTGAAACTTGCAATATATTGTTGAGTTTACACCAATTTAGTACCAAATTAATCAGCTTTTTAAAGAAAGCACAAACAACAGAAAGGTATTTGGACTAGAAAAGTAACATAATTAAGACTCAGTTTTTTTTGGGTTTTCGTTCTTCATTGTTGACCTCCACTGGTTTCGTATGCATTATAATATGAGAGAAGGTAAGTTCCAAATTAAAGACGGCCGCACTCAGCCTACATTTATAACGATTGTCAGAGGAATTTCTGGAAATTTAACATGGTTGTACAAGGGGAGAAAACAAAAAACCTTATGCTGGAATTATTTCCTCCTTGACTTTTCTCTCATTGCGTATTTCTCTCTCTGAAAGAGGAATCCAGAAAATCAAAGTGTTTCTAGCTTTCGGTGATAATTTTTGGTCAAGAAGTTTCCACATAAACTGAAGTTAGCACATGTTAGGCTAGCCACGTGTGGTGTTTAAGCCAACTAAACTAACTTAATTTTATGAGCATGTTTGGCTAAGCTTAGAAAGTTATCTTATTTAAGTTTCAAATAAATAATTTTTTGTTGATAAAAGTTGCAAATAAGTATAATTGATTCTTATAAAAAAGAAATTATTTTAACTTTAAAAAGAAACAAGTTTTCTAAACATATTGGGGTAAAATAACTGAAAAGTAACTTAAGTTTTTTTTTTTTAGCTGAACATGCTATATTATCTCGTTTAATTCTTTTTCTTAATTAAGTTATGCCCACACTGAAATAAATTCCTAGCTCTGCCTCTGAGTGCAACTCAAATAAGTCTCATCAATTAAAACTATACCTTCATAATTCATTAAATAATATACACCAAGAGACCTTGTCCTGAATATGTCCCGTAAGATCATCCACGACTAAGGTGAAAAGATAAGGACTTAAAAGTCATATTTCGGGACAACGGGTACTACATCGGAAGCTAGTGATTGCTTTGTCATGCATATCTTTGATAATATTGACATATCTGACAGAATTCCCGTCTCTCTAGTACACACCATAACACTTTTCTAGACTTCCTATTATGGGCTTTTTCTATTTGAATGAAAATCACATGCAGATCTCTCTTTTACTCTATACTTCTCAATCAATCTCCCAAGCATTTAAATGGCTTCTGTAGAAGATCTCCTTGTTAACTAATTTTATGAAACCTTTGAACTGTACCTTAACCTATGCCCAATTACCCTCACATAATTTATCGTATGAATCATGAGCTTAATACCTCTTTAATTTGTACAATCTTGTAACTTCCTTTTATTCTTATAAATAGGCACCATAAAGCTCTTTCTCTGTTCATCTGTCATCTTTTTATGCTTTCCCAATGCATCAATTTGTATTATTTTAGGCTTTAGAACAGTATAATATGTGGTTCCCCTCTGCATGTAATTTAAACTTAATTTGATAACTTTTAAGAGGCTTCACTTCTTATCGTTAACAATTTGGAGAGTGAATGACTGTTTTTTGTAAAAGGTTTTGAGTAGCCACCCAGAATTACTGAAGATTTTTTTTCCCTGATTTTTTGTCGCTGTGTTGAAATTCTAGAAAACTTCTGGTGCATGTCTCTGTAGTTTTAACGAACCTTTGAACGAGCTGAGCTCAACTTGTGAACATGTGAGCCGAAGGTGAGCTGAGTACCAGTTCACCTTATCTATCTCACAAACTTTTGCCAAGCTGGAGCTGACTCCAGATTGATGAAGTTTGAGCCATATCTACTGAAAAGGTTAATGTCTGAGCTCAAGGGGATATTAGGTGCCTCTTTACCCTCATTTTTTAGAAAAATTATCCTTCTTCCAAACTGTAGCCCTTTAGGATCTCATCTCTCAATATATTTAAGGTTTTTAGTTTTGGCAACTAAAAAATTAGCAAAATCATCTTTCTATTATTAGCTATTTTGATATGCTTGCTTTACATACATTTGTTTAGAAAAAGTATTTTCACTTTAAACTCAATTATTACAACTTTAAGGATGTAAACCATGTACCATGGTTTTATGATTTGAGAAAGCCTCTACTTTGCTTTTGCAGTTGTTAGAAGAGCTCCTCATGAATTCAAAATTGCTTGCTTGGAGGTCAGTGACTTAATTTTCACTTACCGTAACTGAACCTTGATGCATCCATTTCTATTTCCTAGAGAGAGAATTATTTGAGCCACTGAGTATGTAACAATACAGGCCAAATGCATTGCCCTATGTGTATCATTTTAGATCTCTTACAAGCATGGTTTGCTGTAAACTATGAGTTATATGTAGTACCCTGTTTCTGTATGTAAATAAGAAATTTAATTTGATTGTGAGTTTCTTGAATCAAGATCTTGCAATATTATTGCTCTGTACATGTTTAAGAAAAATGATATAAACATTTTTCACTATAGTTCACCATTAATACGCATGACTACAAAACTTCACATATTTTAGCTTATTCTTCTGATTTTCTTCACGCATGATACTATTATTTGTAAAAAGATGTCCTTTAAAGATTTGCTGTTTTAATTTGCTCACTTACTGCATTTGCTATGTTTAGTATCCCTTCAACTAGTTAGATTGGTGGCTTCTGGGAAATCGTTGCTTTCTTGTACAGAGGAGGAGGAGGAGGGAGGAAGGAGGGGGGTGGGGGGGTGGGAGTACCTTCCTCAATATTTTTATATATTTCTATATGTTTTAATATATTCATAAACATATTAAATATTAAAACTTTAGTTTATTGAATGTGTCAATAGCTTAGTGGTAAAAGTTACTTTTTTAGGTTACACATACCTGGGTTCAAATCCCAGCAGCCACAATATTCGTCTCCTTTTTCCTTTGGAAAATCTTCACAATTAGTCCTTAACCTTTAGCATTTATTGAAAACACATCTCGACCTTTAAAATTAGTCTTTTCAGTCCCAACCTTTATATCTATTTGCATAGTTTGTCCTTTTTACATAATTCCATCTCCTCCTTCTATTTTTTTTTTCCCACCCCAAGCAAAAAATTGTAGATTTTACTGGTTCTAAGAGATACTCTTGCTCCAGTTTACATTACTCTCTTCCTTTGTGGAGATTCACTCGTGAGTGTCCTCCTGTTGTTTGTGTTATTTCACTAGAAAGACAAAAAGAGGGAGCTGTTCCTATGGAAAAGGAACTATCGTCCCATGTGTTCCAAAAGAGGTATAATCTCAACCATAAACATCAATCACTGAGACAGGTTAGCATACTAATGATCACAGTGAGAATCAGGACTTTGCGAGTGGAAATTGTGGAACCTTGTAATTTATCAAGTGTTTTGTATAAAGTGGTGGTTAGTCTGATATCTGAAAGGCATTTCTACTTTTTAATAATAAGATAAGCATATCTCCGACCTGGGTCCGTATACTGTAGCTTGCACAGGGAATTGAAATAGAACGAGAAGGGAAAAAAGTGGAGTTGAGGAATGTATGGTTGAATATAGGACAAAAACTATGGATGAAATATATTAGAAATGTTTTATAGCAGCAGGTTCAAGGGTGAAGTTTTGAACTTGGGTAGCTTGTTTATGTGTTACTCATAGTAGGTCACTTGAGCTTTAACATTTCTAACTTTTCTATTCCCTTCCTAAAATAACTTATAGTTTTAGCATCCGGTTATGAATTAATCTAAGATTTTTTATGTCTACCACCTATTTCAGCAAATATTTACTGTTTTGAACATTATTCTCCGTGTCAATCGTGTGTTCTTAAACTTTTTTTTTTTATAGATAATCACGCAATTTTATAAATAAAATCAAAATAGAATACACAAGGAGTGCATTATCAGTTTAAACAAGATAGAAACGATAAAAAAATTCGGCGACCCTTCTATCGGACTAATGGTTGCAGCCTTAAACCAACTATACAAAGTCAAATAAAACACATTGTAGTCAAAATAATTGAAGTGTGATTCGAATGTTTCATCTTTTGATAAACGCATTCGTTTTTCATCTCATGCGTTCTGTCCCCAGTCATCATATAATAAAACTCTTCATTGAAATTTTTGAAAAATCAATTTGTTTTGACTTTTGAGAGTTTGGATTATGAGTTATGATAGCTAATCCTGACTTGATAATGATAGTTTTCATAATAGGCTCTTGGACTTTTTGATATTTCGAGGCATGAAATGGAATTGAGGGGAAAATAGATCTTGAAAACATTCATCAACATATGAATATCTGTGAACCCATGAAGTTTCCATTTCTAACACGGGTAATTGAATAGATTTCGTGAAATAATGGAAAGATTTTGAAGGGTTTATTCCTAGTAATTTTCCCGAACATGTTTGAACAACTTGTAGAGGATCTTTGTCATTCTCCTCTTGAACCATAAAGAGAACCATGAAGATAATCATCAATTGAAAATAGAGGTATTGAAGCTTTTTTCTTATTCTTCTTTTCTAAAGAACATATTTGATATTCTCACAGCCACATTCTCTTGTTAGGAAGCGTGCAAGAACATTAGATTTCCCTTGTGTATATATAATTTCGAAATTAAAACACAATAAGATAGATTGCCATCTTGCAAATATTTGCTTTGAAACAAGGTTTTTAACGTCTTTTTGCAAAACGCATTTGGAAGCTTTACAAACGTTTTTTAAAACAAATTCTTTATTGATTAATTCATCTTAAAATGTTGAAATATACAAGACTACTGATAAAATTTCCTTGATAAAAAGCATTTGGAATAATCGAACATATTTCATTCTCAATTTTCTTTTGAAATGAAGAAATTTTTTCAATAATTGAGAGATTTTTTCATCGTTCCTCAATTATTTGACACTTAATTTCTTCTTTGAAAAAAAAAA